CCGACTGTATCAAAATCCCGACTAACCATAATCCCGACTATATGAAAATTTCTACAATAACATTTTTAAATTATTTCGGAGGGTAGTCACCATGTGCTACATTTTTATTATTAATAAGAATAAATTATTAATTTATTTAATTTTGTTGAATTATTTATAAACATATGAAATAATCTCAAATACAATTAGATTATTAATTGTTGTTTTTATATCATATGAAATAATCTCAAATACAATTAGATTATTAATAATTGTTGTTGTTAATTATTAATAACAATTTAAAAGTCACTACGATTCGGAATAATTTAAAAATGCTATTGTAGACATTTTCGATATAGTCGGGATTTTAATACAGTCGAGATTATGGTTGTCGGTATTTTAATGTTGTCGGGATTTCGAACGTCGGGTTTTTCGGTTATCGGGTTTGCGATTGCCACCGAATGATATTACATAACAGGCATTTTTTTAAAATAATATTGTTACAATTTACTACTTTTTATTTTAAAATATTTAAAGTTGTCAGCATTTTTAAGATCCATTCTAAGCAATTTATTTTATTAGTTCCTTATTGTTAACAACAAATCATCTAAAGTAAATTATTTATACCGTTGTGTATTGATACAATTTCTATGTTGACCCTGTTCAGAATAAATTGTTCAGTTATGCTCTACAATACTCAAATGTTGTTTATAACCTCAAATGTTAACTTGTGAATGTTATAAGAAACGACGATGGGTGATTTGGTTCAGGCATTTAAATTGCTGAGTTGCGAGTTAAAACCAGAAACGAAAGTGTTCGAGGTAGAAAACCTTCGTGCTATAGAAATATGCTTGGAAGCAATAGGCAACAACTTTAATTATTCCTTGAATGGAGTCCTTCGAGCACTGAATGATGATAACCTGGTAGACAGCTGTAAGGTAATCCAGTTGGCTTTGAGGATAGCCCAAGATGATTCTATTTTCATTGAATGTATGGACAATCTTGAATTATTACCACCATTCTTGGAGTTAAATGTCCTTAATATATTATTACTAGATACAAGGAATCAGCTGTTACTAACCCGGCTGCAGTACTTAAACAAGTATTTAGACAATGATAATATAGAGAAAAAGGCTAATAACTATTTCATAGGTGTAATACTACCAAAATTGTTAGATATCGGAGGAGAAGTTGTTGAGGAATTGATTTGGAGAAATTTTACTTTTGAAACTGTATGTCCTTCAGTTAATACTTTCTTGAATGAAAGGATTTTAAATAAAGAAGAGTTTTGGTTGAGATTGCAGCCAGGCTTGATGTCTCACAATAAAGCAGCTAATTACATCTTTAAGACAGCAGTGAGAAAATTGCAAACAGTTGATGTGTCTCTGTGTGAATTGGTTAAGAACTGTGATTTTGAAGCTCTCGAATGCTTGATCATTTTATTAGAAATAGTTGCAGAGAAACAGCTACATTTGATACAACCGTCTTTGGGATTATTGGAAAAAGTGACGAGTTTACATAAGAGTTGGGTGAAGTTAATTTTCGGTCTGTTCTTGAATCATGCTCAAAACATTGTAGTTTACCACACGATAATGATGACATTGAAATTTACGTCTGATTTGATGAACGAAGAGATTTTGAACGCTTTGAACAGATCGGATTATTCACCGCTTGCGAAGAAAACTTACAAGACATTTGGGATTTACATTAGAAATTTGGACAAATCCGCATTTGAATTAATTCTTGCCACTTCGTTAACAATAAACTGGGTGCCAATTGCGTTCACCACTGTTTACCGAGAGTTTCTGCACGAGGACACCGTAATTCCAATACATTATTTGCATAGTTTGACTGTGAGAGCGAAAAGGCTACCACATAAGAATATACGACGAGGTATGATACAACAGATATTCGAAAAGTTTAAGAAGAATTTGAATAGTTTCAGCGTCATCGATTTTAAAGATATTTTAATAGAGTTTTTAAACGATAAAGAAGTCGCATGTTATTTGCGCACTATTTTAAAGTTTAAATTGAGCCACGAGGATCTGAGCGCAATGACAAAGTGGCTTAAGGCCGACGTCCCGAATGTCGACACTATCAATCTGATAGTAGAGATGGTGAATCACTCGGTTATTGAAAGGATTTGGATAGAAGAGAATATTGTATATCCGTTTCTGCAGAGAGATTATTGCACGCAGGTCTTGGATCGGTTGACTCACGTATACTGTATTAAAACACACCAACTGGAAAATTACCTCTTGTCGCGATTGGATTGCATCGAGGTGGCTGATAGTGTATGTCACATTGATTCGTCTAGAGCTTTAGCCTTGAAAGCAAGCCAGATACTACTGTCGGGGTCTTCAAGGAAGAATCTCAGTTTAGCTTTCGACATTTTATTCTACCTGAGCGAAGACAAGTACAAAACAGTGTACGTATACTGGATGAACAGGATCTTGGACAATTCTAAAGTTGATAGTAACTTAGCCTTAGGTTTCGTCAATCTGTTAATGAAGATAAAAGAGGAATACTTGACGAGAGCTGTTAAATTCGATAACGTTTTAAAGCTTTACGAAATCTTCTTCGCGACGCAACCGCTTCAAGTCGTTAAGAAAATCTTCAGAAACTTAGACATCGTTTTCAAGAATATTAAAGCATCTAATAAAGAATTTATAGAGCTTTGCTTGCGGCAGCTCGTGCAAATGAAGAGTTCAGAGTATTTTGAAGACGCCGTTTGGAATTTCGTGAGAAATTTTGTCACTCATCTGAGCACAATGGATACGGTAATTTTGGAGTGCACCTTGTCTGGTTTATATGAACTCTGTAGGAATTCCGAGGTCGTACTGTATTACTGCATGATGTACCTGAAAGGAAAGAACATCAACGAAAAGATCTTCCCAAAACATGAGTTTTTACTACACGGAGATGTTCTTACCAAAGATAAAATGTATTTTTATTTAGTACATAGTTTAATTTTATGTTACATAATGTGGTTTGTGTTTCAGGGCCGAATACGAAATTTACTCCCTTCATTTTAGCCATAGGAAGTGAGTTTTTATTTATTGTTAATATTTTTTCAACCTGTTATAACTTTGCATTTCTAGCCCATACTTTCGCAGTGCTGAGATACGCAAATTCGCTTTGGAAGATATACTTAGCGATGTCAAGGATGAGCGAATCAATAGGGTATCCGAATATTTACTAGATAATTACAAACTCAATTTCGGGAAGCGGTATTTTCCTCAATCTCTGGTAACGTCTTCATCTTATTGTGATTTTATCTTCATCATGAATTTGCTTCCAGTTACATTTACAAAAGTTGAGAATCATGCAGGCGTTCTCCTTCTTCCTGCCTTGTATGTCTTTGGAAATGAAGAACAGTTTGCGACAAATGCTGGTGGACAGTTTTAAAGTGGAAAGTCATCAACCTTCAGTGAAACATATAGTGCAATACCTTTTAATACAATTGTTGGCCGATAGCAGTCAATTGCTGATCGATGCTATTGAAATCTCCAATAAGAGCACTCCAAACACCGTCAGCGGTTTTATTCCTATACTTTATGGATTGGCATTGAATAAAAAAGACGTCGATTTTAGCATGACTTGCGTCGAAGCTATGCTTCCGTGGACGATGGGAGCCAATTTCAAGTTACGTCTCTACTCGCAGCATGCGATTATAAAGATATGCGAGAGGAACATGAAAAACCGAAAGTTCAAACTCAAGTATCATTCACTTTCGAAGTCCATCGAAACGGTCCTCAATTCGACTACTCACGTGGATAGCAGTTTGATGAAAGACTTGAAATTGGTGGAACACATTTACGAAATACAACCGAGTATCTATAAAAGAAAATTGATCGAGCTAATTACAGTTAATATACCTGAAACCAATGAAGTTGTACAAAGTGAATACGAATATTTCAAGATGACATTTTGTTATTTCCAATACGTGGAAAGTTATAAAATGGAGGCAGAAATGGATGACCTGGACATACTTCAAGAGAAATTCGAGAATATTCAAAAGAAGATAGTACCTTGGAGGGAATTAGAAACGGGCGACGATGGTAATAAAACCGAGCTAATTGTGGTAGCAAGTTTGGTGGATAGTTTACCAAATCTGGGTGGACTTTCGAGAACCTGCGAGATTTTTGGTGTAAAAAAACTAGTGCTGGAGAATCAAAAAGTCGCAGGTGAAAGGGATTTCCAAAACCTGAGTATGTCCAGCGAGAAATGGCTGGATATCATCGAAGTGAAACCCGTAGATTTGCAGGAATTTATTTTGAAGATGAAGACTGCTGGTTTCAAAGTTATTGGGGCGGAGCAAACGGCCGACAGTGCTTGCTTGGGCAATTATCAATACGACGACAAAACTGTATTAGTTTTAGGGTAATTCACATGATAATTAGTGCGTACATGTTTTAATTAATACTTGTTTTTGTTTAGTAACGAACGTAGCGGAATTCCTCCCAATTTAATACCTCTGCTCGACGTTTGCGTGGAGATTCCTCAGAAGGGAGTGGTTCGGTCTTTGAACGTGCACGTGGCCGGCGCAATGTTCATTTGGGAGTACGCCAGGCAACAAATGATAACCCACATTAAGAGCTAAATAAATATTATTCTGATTAACTTATAACAAAGAAAACAAATTTTAACTGTTAATGGGAACGGGCAATGTCCGAGAAGAAATTCAGGATATCGTTGATGGTGAATTCCAGTGTGATCATTGAACCCGGATAACACTGTTGTATCAGATCTTCCAGAGTTTTGTACTGCTGGATGAACTCTTCCTGCATCGCTCTCCATACCACTTGCAGCAAGTTGCTATCTTCCGACAAGTGCTTCTCGACTTTTTTGTACAGCGATTCCAGGCCCCTCTTGACCTGCACCAATCAATCATTACAAATCACATAGCAAAACCGGCTATGCATGATTTACTCACCGTGCTTCCCGGGTATTGGCTAATGACTTTTCTCAGCTCTTGCTTACTGAACGCCAATTGGTAGCTGACCTCGGAGGCTTTCACGCCACTCGCGACCCTCGCTTGAACCCCATCAAAGAAAGTCTGAAATCATTTACTTACGTTATAACAAATCAAGGAAAAACGCCAATAATTAGAAGAAAAATACATTCAATTTCTCCAGAGGTCTTCCGAAATACTGTGTCACGTAAGTTCCCAATGAATCGTTGTATTTCTGCTTAGCATCCTTCCGCTGCGCATCCAATACAGAGATCTTCAATTGCGAAAGAAGTGAATACAAGTTGTGGTAGTTTTCTGAAAGACGGAATTACTTCAACATTTAGGAGATCGTTGATGTAATCACATGGTAATACCCATTTTGATGACCTGCGACGGAGTTTTACTGTGGTCAGTCGAATGCATGGAGATGCACTCGATGATGGTATCCACTAAGCGCGTATACCATTTTTCTAAATCGGCGCGTCGGTCGCTCTTGAGAAGTACGTCTGCATTCTTCGCGAACTCCTCTAGATTTAAAACGTATGGTAAGATTCCGCATTTGGAGCGACGTTGTAGTTTGCACTCTCGGATGGACTCGATTTGGGTCTGCATGAATTTATCTAGCGACCTCTTAATTTGAATCAATACCGAAGCGTAGGTATTGCTGAGGAACGAGCTCTGGGCGGACATCACGTGCTGATTCAGGTGCATCAGAACGTACATGCAATAGCTAAACATCTTCAATATAAAGACTATTTGAAGCGTGACAACTATACTTACAAAGCATCTTGTTTCTCTATGTGACCTATGAAGCTAACTAGCTCATCTTCCAGACAATTAAACAAACTCCCCATCATGTTTCTAACGTCCTCGTTGACTTGTTTTTCCGCTTTCTTGTGTGGTAAAATAGCCGTATCGCCGTCCACTCCATCCAGAGTTGTTAAAGTGTTCTTTGAACTTGGACTAAGAACGTCCAACTATAAATTTATAATAGCCATTATGGCTAGTTGAAAACTTTAACATTAGATTTAAGAAAATATATATCACCTGGAAGAAAGATACGCAAAACTGTTGTTCCTGGAGACAAACAGGCTCAAGCAGAGATAATACTTGTTCCAAACAAGATTCGTATCTTTCTCGATCCAAAGTCGTAGTTTCTAAAGTCCACTGGTCGCGATCTAAGCCTAAAAGAACGGAATTTCTGGTGGGCGTCGTAACAGGCCCATTTACAGCCACCTTTTCTCTAGCGACTTCGAATAAGTATCGCAAATCCCTATCGTACAGTTTTCCCAATGATTCCGTGTACACTTTCTTCAGCTGGTTATAAGCATTGCGATCCATTACCTACGTCAAAAATCAACTCAATTATAATTGAAATTTCGGATATATTCCATAATACTTTAATCCAATGCATAAGATCCGTGTACATATTTAACTCTTTGTGGACCGCGCTATGCTGAGGTAGAATCAAACCGTCTGCCGTGTGTTCTGCATCACCTTTATGATTACCGTAATGAATGAAGAGATTATTTAATTGTCTGCTAATAGTGCGAGAAAATTTTTCTTTGTATTTTTCAAATCGTTTGCGCTGTTCTTGGACAGCAGCCATACGCAAAAGTGCTGGATCTAATTGCGAATTCATTGCGATCCTTAGCGCATTTCCAGCTTCAATTGCTGCCTTCAAACCCTGAGGATTGGTTAAATCGGCGTCATCCAAAGCATCCTGGAATTTTCTAGGCAGATCCAACTGAGTCTAAAAAAAAAATAGAATTATTTTGTCTCTAAGTTTGTTCATTTTTTTAGAAACTTACAACAACGTTCTCTAATTCTTGCAATAACAATTGGTTGTTTGTATTGGCCACCTCAATCATAGAATTTTTCTTCTCCATATTCTGCATGGTGTCCCTAACGTGACACAAGATCTCATCATAGCTATCCAGGCGATTCTCGATCCTCTCCGCTTCGTTTATCGCCATCTGAAGTTGTTCCATCAAGGACTCGACTTGCGCTTCAGACGCTAAAACACACTGCACATTCTCGCCATCCAACAAAGACAAATCTCTGGCTAGCACCTCCATGAACGCTTCTGCATTGCTAATGGCAAATTCACAGTCAGACATCAATTTGCTCAAATCTTCCTGTTCTTTATCAGTGATGGCTTGGAAATCCTCAGACAGTTCTGAGTCCATGCCAATCAGTGGTGATGCTGAAAATTTAATACTTTCTGGCGTCATCACGTCCTCTATCAGCCATGCTTTTGGAATGTTCTTGAAAATTGGTTTCTCTTTTGCCAAATACTTATTTGATTGTCTATAGAGTGTAATGATGAAGTTCTGCCTCTCGTGAATGGTTGAAGCCACCCATCTATAGGGTTTATCAATGTGCAAATCAAACTCAACATTATCACTACCTTCACTTCTCCCATCAACTATCTTGAGTTCTGCAAGTGCCCAGGAGCGCTTCCTCTTGAAGCTCTTGTCAGTTTGCTTTACTTGCACCAAAGAGATATTTGGAGGAGCACTTGTGGTGCTAACTATGCACATGAAGGATGATTTCTTCTTCTTCAGCAACTTCCCCACATGGCAGATGGATATTAGTCGTTCCTCCTTGCCTTGGAAGATTTCCTGTTGGATCGTGTGTCGTATAGTTGTCATTTTGTGGGTGTATACATGAAATTGCAGGTTATATTTTTGTTATTGACTTTGACAACGTCAAAGTGACAACAGTATATCAGTTCTACCAGTGGTAAATTCAAAAATTTCAACTTGTTAGAACGATTCTAATAAGATTGATTAATAAAATTGGACTTTTCGCTAACACAATAAATATTTTGGTTGAATACAAAGTAATAAACATCAATTTTATTACTAGTTTCATTAAATTACTCAGCCTTTTCAAGGATTCAAGTTGGTATCCCACTGGTAGGTCAGCTGTGATTCTGTGTCAGTTGTGAACAGTTGTTGAAGAGTTTTGTTAGATTAATTTTTGGTCATTTCCAGCAAACATTTATTTTCTTACAACTTCCAATTAATCCAAACAAAATGGTAAGCAGTTCCAGAAGTTTATCAATTTTCTGCTGCGATAATTACGATTTAAGATGCTTAATAGGATGGCATTGCTGCTAATTTTTTAATGGGCGTTTTTATTAAGATAACCTCCCTTCAATCAGTGCCTTTGTGTATATCGTCTGATTGCGCCAAGAATGCGAACAATGCGATAACTGAACCATCAATGATTACATATTTTATATGCAATTTCTTTGTTATTCCAGGGTGATAGAGTGATGGGTGATGATGGAACTGTATCTCTGACAGACAATAGTCTGATTGTAGATATATCGGATGCTCTCAGTGAAAAGGACAAAGTCAAATTCACTGTACACACACGCACAACCTTAAAGAACTTTAATAAACCCGAATTCCATGTTGTTCGTCAGCATGAGGAGTTTATTTGGCTACATGATCGATATGAAGAGAATCCTGTTTATGCTGGTTATATTGTGAGTTGATAGAATTGTTGCAATGCCTGTGATTAATTGAATTCGTTTGCTTCTAGATTCCTCCGCCTCCTCCACGTCCCAATTTCGATGCATCCCGTGAGAAGTTGCAGCGCTTGGGCGAAGGCGAAGGAACGATGACAAAAGAAGAATTTAATAAAATGAAGCAGGAACTCGAAGCGTATGAATTTCCGTTTGTTTGATTCTATTACATCTCTTGTTATGCATTTGTGATTTTTTTTTTTGCATTCTCGTTAGATTAGAATAACTTTGTTCTTGAAATTATGCAATCGGCAATGCGATGTAGTAGCAGTTTAATGAAAATCTATGTTATTCATGTATTAGCCAAAGTTTTGGTTAATAATGCTTTTAGTTATTGTTTTCAATATACAAATTTCATGATTTAATTAGCTTATGTATATTAGTTTGCTATTATTATTGCAATATGATAGCTTTAAATGATGTAGAATATTTTTGAAATGCATTTAGATTGGCTCAATTTAATTAAGCTTTCAATGTTTATTATTTAGATAAATTTAATTTTCTACATAACTTATGATTTATTTGGTATATTTGTTAACAGTGAATATTTGGCGACTTTCAAGAAGACGGTGGCAATGCACGAGGTGTTTCTGACGCGACTTGCCAGTCATGTGATGTTCCGCGAGGACGAGCATCTGCACGTATTTTTGGAGTTCGATCAGGATCTGTGCGCTAGACCTAGAGGTCGTTTCCAGCAGTTCGGAGGCTTCGTGAAATCCCTAGGTTCAACGACTGATCAATATTACTTAAACGTAACTGTGCGAGACGTGCACGACTTCTTCGAGAAGCAGATGAACAGCCTGACTGAGTACCACGGCAAGCTAAAGGAAGGAACAGTGAAGACGGACAAGATGACCGAGAAACATAAGGAGGTCGCGGATAGTTACATCAAGATCTCCGGTGGCCTCGTGCAGCTGGCCAACATCGATCCCGGCCCATTGGACAAGTACTTGATGAAGGTCGCGGATGGCTTCGAAAAGGCGAGAGTACGTATCAATTATTAAGTAATTTCAATGGGTATCAAATGATTACGTATGTTACAGAAATTGGAGAGCCGCGTTGCTAGTGATGAAGACTTAAAGTTAGCTGATACCTTGAGATATTACATGCGCGATAGTCAAGCAGCTATGGCGTTGCTGGTAAGACGACTGAAATGTTTGGCGACCTACGAAGCGGCGAACAGAGCGTTGGAACGCGCCCGACAAAAGAACAAAGACATACATGCGGTAAGTTCACCTTCCGATCCTCCTCGTTTTTCAAATAACACTTTAAACACTTGACCTGTTTTCCCTACGCTCGCACTTAAGGCACCTGAAGTTCAAGAGGTAAACGAGTTTTCACTAAATGTATACCTATGGAAATGGTACTTCTTTTTTCTAATCGATTTCCGCGTTCTGTTCGTAGGCGGAGAAGGCTCAAACTGAAGCTTGCGAGAGGTTCGATTCGATTTCCACGCAGGCCAAGGAAGAACTGCTGGACTTCAAAACCAGGAGGCTGCACGCGTTCAGGAAGAGCCTCATCGAACTGGCCGAGCTTGAGATTAAGCACGCGCGCACGCAGCAGGATCTGTTCAAGAAGTCGCTGCAAAATCTCCAGGAGCTCATGTAATGAAGACGAGTGCCCAACCCCCCCAATTAATATTATCATTTTTAAAAAAACATATTATTTCTATTTTTTATATACATAGCATATACAATCAACATTGTATTATGAAGAAGAAAAAAAATATGATATATTATATATTCTCTCATAGATTTATCATTATTATTGCTATTACATTATATTACTATTATCGTAAGTTTTGTTACATTCCAAATTTATATTTGGTTTTTATTTCTATTTTTAAAATTTATCGGAAAAGGCGTTTATATATATATATTATATGAATATTGATTATGGAATGTTATTATTATTATTATTGTGGAATATGATTTTTAACACAATTGAAACTATTCAAAATTTGTAAAGAATAAAAAATTTATATTATAATATTTGTCAGGAGCAGATATGGAAATTAATGAAGCGAAGTAAAGGATGAAGATGAAGTAATATTGTATGTTGTTTATATTTGAATATAAAAATTTAATTATACGATTCGATGTTTTGGTTGTCTAACTTGAGCTCAACAACAACAAAAAAAGAGAAGAAATATGCGCGCAAACGAATGCATTGTTGCTTTTGCGGCGCTTGGAAGTATCCGCTTCACGTTTTATTTTCTGTTTTCCGATTTATCTGCGCTGTTCCATTTTTGGTCAGCTCCTTGGCTCCTTTATTTTTGTTTTGTTCGCTCCTTCTCGTCTCATCCTCTTCCCTTCTCTCCATCCTTCTAGCTTCTCATTTTTGTTTTGTTTTGTTTGTTCGTGAAACGCGGCGCTCCGGGATTAGTGAATACGCGTCGCGGAGGCGCGCTTGCACGCACTTAATTCTCTTCGGTAGCTGAAGATTCATTGAACTCTTAGCATCTCGCGAGAAACATAACATACAGGTTTTTAAAATTATGCGTGCCACAGTTATTTTTAGAACGGAAAAGTACTGAAACGCGCCCCACAATTAACTCTCGACTGCGGCGAAAAATATAAATAGTGGAAGACGATGGAAAAAGGGGGACGATGTCTGCTACTCTGCCTGCCTGCCTTCTTTCCACGCTCCATTCCTGAACAACAACCTAAAAAAAAAAGAAGATGAAAGAATGAGACTGCAGAGCGAAATCGGAAACGCGTTGATCCAATAAGAATCTACGGCTATTTTGATTGGCACTCGACTTGCATTTCTCACATTAGAATGAACACTTTTAATACATTTATACCGCACCAAATGCAGTTAATCCAATTACAAATATCTTAAAGTCAATTACACCACGACACTGATTGATTAATGTTTATCCAACACGCACATGACAAATCAACAACATCCGTTTACATAAACTATTGTAACCCAACTGTTTAAATGCACAAAAGTTCAATTGAATATAAATCCAAAAGATTTCAATTTCTTTATTGTTTTAATAACGATTTAAAATATTTCAATTGGTTTTTTTCTATTTTTTATTTTATAATGCGAATGAACTTGAGCATCTCCTATTTATGGAAAGTTACTGGAAACGGCGAACGTTTAGAGCAGTGCTACTCAATCTTGCTTGTACCAGTGCTCATTTGCATAAGCTCGGCTGCGAGAGCGTGATTTTTTTTTTGAAAGAAAGAAAGAAAAAACATAACACACGTCCAGATACTGTTATATCTCGAGGCCTCTGGATTTAAGAAACACTCGTTCTGCCGATTCACAGCGATTTGCTTGTGCGTTATGTAAATGGATAACCTACTGTCGATCGCACAAGGCGTATGCAATTTGAGATTATCGTAATTGCAATTAGGTCGAAACCAATAATTCTTTCAATCATAGTTTGCTTCTTATACATCAACAAATTAAAATTGATTAATGAAAATTATTAAGCAAATGATATTTTCATAAACTGTGTCAAAATGAAGAAATTCATTCTTTTTTTTTTGGGTGATTTCTTGGAGATTCAATTGTCGGATTCACATCAACAAACAAATGTAATTTGCATTGAATGTAGGATAGTAATAGTCCCAAGACAATAATTTATTTAATTTCAATTTCTTGAAGTTGCAATTGTTGGATCAATATCAGCAATTATCGTCATTCATTTCTTCTTGAATTTGAAACTGAAATCTTCTAACCTATTGATATTATATCTAAATTCATAATAGAATTAGGACAAACTCAATTACAGAGAGATTTCCAGAGCAAAATGGACAAATTATCAAAGAAGTTATAATTATTAGAGTTTAATTTTATATCCATGTTTGATTCGTGATTTTTATCGAGATTTTAAATAAATTATGAAAAGTAAGAAAATTCTGATTAAACAACATTTTATATGTCTCAATAAGAAAGATTTAATTAGAAATTAAACTAGAATTATTATTTTTAAGTTTTCCTTTTTTATATTTTCTACAAAGTAAATCAAGTAGCCTAAATCAAATAATATCTATCAAAGTTCTTGAATAATAAATCCAATATGATTATGTTAATTCAGATATGGGAGAATCAAAAATTGGTAAACTTTGGAATCAGCACTAATTTAGTTGCGTATAGTGAAAATCCATAGATTTATGTGTAGAAAGTCCAAAGTGAATTGATTTTCTCGTCATAGGGAAATTCCCGGAGCTTCAAGATGATAATAACGATGATTCAGGAGCAATTAAGAAATTCTGTTTCATTTTTTTTTTATGAAATAATGGTATTAATGTTCGTTCAGACATTGGGAATTTACTCATCGAATCGTTTTCAATTGCTTTCAGGAATCAATTGTATCGGCCGTGTGTCGTCTCGGTGCATTGAACCGAATTCGCGCGGTTTTCCTGGGACAGGAATGTGCACGCACGCCGAGAAAATGCAGCTAATGTTTACACGAAGGATACATACACACACACACACACACTCTGCCTCACACAGAAGAAAGAATTCCATAGTCTGCCTAGTTCCATCCATCCATGCTTTTTCTTCTTTCATCTTTCATTTTTTTTCTTTCTTAGTCTTGCTCCTCGTAAACGCAATCGACGGAGGATATTTTCGTACCACAACAGGTTATATTGTAGTCCCAGCAGAAACCGGAGGATCATCAATCTGTTATGGCTATAACTTAAGGGATTTACACCCAAAACAAAAATATAAATAAAAACAATATGCTGCTGCTGCTGGCAGGGACACGAAAACGATGGATGCTCTAAAAATAAAGAAGAAAAAAGAAGTGGAGAAAGAAGAAACTTGTTTTCAAGTTGCAGCCATTTGACGCGCGCGTTTCGGTTACGTAAAACAAATATTTGATTTGTTCAACTGATAAAAACTATTTCCACCGATGCTGATAAAAGACAAAAAAATCTCCACAAATCGTGTACCTAACAATATGCTACCTATCTACCATTCGTTTTGATACGTTGTTTGCACTGAAATGCTCTAACTCTGTATTATTTATTGCTGAAGGCTGGCCTCTATATCCTTGTCCGTTCAATTTTATTTGAACGCTCGCGTTTTATAATCTTTCACTTAACGCAGACGTAAATTTCCATGTTTGCGTATATGATACGATTGTTTTACGTACCTGCAAAAACTTCCAGGACACATTTACAATTGTTGTCTTTTTTTTTTATTGCATTCCACAATATTTGCAGAAATAATGAATATCCCCGATAGACTTACTACATCATTGATTGCTTTCTGCAAACTGAAGAAGTATGCGTGTATAACATAATGCCTATAATTGTTTAAACACACATAATTTTGTTAAAGTCTTCTCCATAATTCGCAATCTCCTGTTTAAAATCTAAAATGAAACTTTTCAAAGTTATTAGTTTTGTTTGTTACACGAATGCAAGTAAAGTTATTTTCTAATTTCCAATCAAATTTGATAAGTATTATCATGCCAGTCTTACATCAAAATAAACATCACTTACATCACTTTTCTATGTTTTATTATTAGAATTTATGATTCTAATCTACAAATTATTATTTTATTTACAGTTTAATTGTACATGTTTTTTTTTTATCAAAATCAATACATTTAATATAATATTTATAAACCAAATATATATTAATACTTTTTTGGTTTTATTTCATTATTTAGATTTTCATGTTGACTCCAAAAGTAATATATATACACATTGTGTTTCTCATAAAACTGATGAACGAAGATAATTAATAGATTTTAATTCATTCATTTCTCATATGCACAAAACGAGTTTTCATCTTGGCAACTTGTGCATAAAATAGTTGTATTTTAATGTAGATTTATGTGCAAGTATGTTCGAAATTCTTTCTGTTTTTTTTACTTTATTAGTCAAATTAATTCTAGTTCTTATTTTTTTTATATATTCTATTGACTTGCTTTAACATTGACAAGTTTCCTTGTTGCTAACTAGATTCTTTGTTCTTAGTAATATTATTTGTTAGTATATTTATTTCATTTTAAATTTATTTTCAATTGCGAGTGAGTAAAATAATAGAATTAAAAAATCTTAGATTATTTGGAATGAAATCTATTAATTCGATTAATCTTAAGATTGATGCAAAAAATGATTTAAAAATAAGTATACAAAGTTGATGGAATTATTATATAAATTGTTAAAATTATAATCTAAAGATTGGTCATGGAAAAAGAAAATATGTTGAAAAAAATAACGTTCCACAGATTATGGTAATTAAACAACCTGTGTCATGGTCAGTATTTTGGGTATATTACAGGTATGGTTGAACAACTCGAGACATGTAGAAAAGTACTGTTAAAGCAACAAATTTAATACAACTCACATGCATACAACAAGACTGAAAAATTTTGTGGTTTTAGTGTAATTTTATCTAATAATTATAGTATTCTATAGTATTATTGCAAATATGATTGAAAAAGTTTTAAATTATTAAAAAAAAACTATTTTTTTTTTCTAATTTATCGTATTCTGATTTTCATATAGTTGTTGTTGTTGTTTTCCACATAATCAACATAATATAACGAACGATTTTAATTAATTGATTAAACAAGTATTGCAATAATAAGTTATCTTGTTGCTAGCTACGAGCATCGCGCAAAACAAAAACAAAAAGAAAACACGTTTTGTTTTATGAAAAGAATTAGTGATTCATGAACGATCGTAGAGGAAAGAAATTAAAATAATAAGAAAAGCGTGTTATTTAAAGTACGTCCGTTCCGATGA